GCACTTCCTGCCTACTCAAATGATATTATCTCCCTTCTCAAGCCTACAATGGGGTTGAAGATTAGATAGTTGTAGTTATCTTCCTCTAATGATTTAGATGAGAATCTTTGGAATAGAATGTTTATAAACAAACATTTGTCATGTGTTCCTTGCTTAATAGTGTTTATGTTGGTTGTAATTTTATACTTAATATCTGTTCCTTGTATATAGTTGAATTGGGATTTGGATCACTCTTGTTTAGATGAAAGGGGAAGGTGATGGGGAAGCTTTGTTAACCAATCATCTTTAAGAGGTGGATCCAAGGATGAGGTATTGTAGGAGGAGGGCTTGCTTGTTCATCATGGCCACCCAGCTAGCTTAGCCCCAAAGTAACCACACAGAAACTATATTAATTAAATCACTGCTTGGCCCATTAGCTTTAGTTTCTTTTTCTTCTTTACTTTATTTTTTAAAATTTTTATGATTTATTTATCTTTTATGTGCATTGGTGTGAAAGTGTCAGATCCCCTGAAACTGTATTTTCAGACAGTTGTGAGCTGCCATGTGGGTGCTGGGAATTGAACCCAGGTCCTCTGGAAGAGCAGTCAGTGCTCTTAACCGCTGAGCCATTTCTCCAGCCCCTAGCTCTAGTTTCTTAGAGGCTAATTCTTACATCTTAATTTAACCCATTTCTAATAATCTGTATATCACCTTGTAGCAGTGGCTTACCGAGTGAAATTTAGCACATCTATCTCCAGCGGTGGATCCATGGTGACCCCTGACTTTACTTTCTTCCTCCCAGCGTTCATTTCTGTCTTCTCTGCCTACCTAAGTTCTGCTCTATCAGGCCAAGGCAGTTTCTTTATTCATTAATCAATACAAACAATATACAGAGGGGACTCCCACATAACCTCCCCTTTTCTGTTTAAATAAAAAGGAAGGTTTTAACTTTAACATTGAAAAATTACATATATCAGGTATCAAGCAAGAATTACAGTTACAATATTTTATTTACTTATCTTTTATCATAACTAAGGAAAACTATATCTAAAACTATCTATCTATTCTTCAACTCCATCAAAGACTCCAGAAGGATATACTATTACCTAAGTAAACAAGAAGTGCATTATGAACAACTTCCAGAACTCTAGAATTGACAGAGACATCTCACTGCCTGGACAGTCACCCAAAGTCCTTCTGTACCATTGGGGCACCCATCTTCAGCCTACAGGCCCATAGTATCTAGCAGACTTCTCCATGAAGCAGGAAACTTCAAAAATAGTATTAGCAGTTTGTCAGTCACTTTCTTTTGTGTCCTGCAGAATGTCTAGCAGACTCTTTCATATAACAGAAACCCTGATGGACCATCTCACTTTCAGGCAAGTTTAATAGTCATTTCTCTGCGAGTCCTGTATATCCAGTTTATATAGCCAGGCAAGACAGTTTCTTTCCCAAATGGCTAACAAACTCCATAAGGAGCCTCTTCAATGCCCATCTTCTTCTTGATGTAGTTAGTGCTGCCAGGAGCAGATGTGTCTCACTATCATGAAAAGTCTTAAGTTCTTAAATATATTAAATGCCATATTCTGAAGGTCTCTGAAAGATTTGAAGAATACCTATCTAACTGATATATATATATATAAATCTAAATCTAAATAACATGACTACTTATATATTATATTATTAATCTTGACTATTATATATGACTATCTATTAACCTATATTTCTTAATTATATATTACATTTTTAAATGAACTACACAATCACAATATCTTAATCAAGAGCAGAAATATACATATAACAAAATTGACCTTTAATTTGTATCAATAAACCAAGATCCATACCAATGCAATTTATGTATATTTATATCATATCCCCCTGTAAATGTAAAGAAGCATTTATAGACAATATTTGGGAATATGGGCATAGTTTTTTCATACTACTTCCTACTGTTTGGGGGTGTTATTAATTAGGTCTTTTATGGTGTATCACATGTATTAGGTTCATCTCACTCAGCAGTTTGGTGAAGTAATTTTTTGAAGGTTTTCATGGCAACCTTTCAGTGGGCATGGTCTATCAAACCATATTGGTCTATAAATAATCCACTGGTTTTCATCTTCTGTGAAAACAAAAGAAGAATCTCTTTTCCAAAGCAGCATATCCTCAGACCCAAATTTGGAAGTCATGATACCTTTATAATATATGTGCTGGTTTAGTTTAGCAGCACATAGAATGAAAAGTCTCTCTGTACTTAGCTCCTTCACAGTCAAAAAATTCAAAGAAAACATAATAATATACATAATCTAGATTCTCTATGAATTTTTCATCTTTACATGGCTTATTTTTCTTTAGTTCTTTTAATGTATGACTGTCTGTACTGTCTCTTTAAAGACTTTTTAAAAAATGATTTACTTCTTTTCCAACTCTCTATATTCTTCTATTTCTTCTCTCTCCCAAGGCTACGTACATTTATCCAACACTATGACTCATTTAGAGTTCTTTTATGTCTGAATTTGTCCTATTGTGAATTTATAATTGTTTACTGTCCAATAGTGCTTTTTAAAATGCTAAGCACTTCTTGAAAACTTAAGCTGTGTCATTGCTAGGTCAAATAAAGTAGTGCCTACCTGCCCTGCCCAGTCCAGCAATGGTGGAACCTCTTGAGTCTCTGAGCTGCTAGTGTCTCTGAGCTGTGTGCACTGCTCCACTTCTAGGAACACAGAAAGTCCACATTGCCATCAAGCAAGCTGCAACACTTTGCTTACAAATGCAGCTCAAATGCTCTGTAGCTGGACCTCTTTCCTGAGTAAGAGGTTGTGCTGGCAGCCTGGCACAGAAAGCCTGCATTTCAAAACAGCATGTCTATTTTTCTGCTGCTGCTGTTGCTGCTGAGTCAGGAAAATCTCTCTTAAAGGAGTTGCGGGACAATGCCAGCAAAGAGCAAAAGCTTTGTTGCACTCTGTATTTTTTTTGAGAATTCCTTTTCAAGCTTTCTCAGGTTTTACCATGGAATTAGTTGGCCACATTGGAGCATCAATTGAAAAAGGAGGGCCCTCTTGTTCATCCCAGTCACCTGGCTAGCTTAGCCCCAAAATAGCCACACAGAAACTATATTGTAACATGAAGGCCGGCTTGTTGGGGTATCTGTTCCCGCCCGGTACCCCACAACCGGCAACTCCCAAGGAAAATCACACACAAGACTCCATAAGATTATAAACTGATTGGCCCATTAGGTCAGGCTACTTATTAGTTCTTATAACTTATATTAATCCATTATCATTATCTATGTTAGCACATGGCTCAGTACCTTTTCCAGCGGGGCAGCTTACATCTTTCCTCTCCGGTGGTCTGGGTAGAACTGGAAGCTTCCTGTTTTCCCAGAATACTCCCAGTCTCTTTGCTCCACCTCTACTTCCTGTCTGGCTTTCCCGCCTATACTGCCTGCCTGGCCAATCAGTGTTTTATTAAAATATGATTGACAGAATACAGACAATTCTCCCACACCACTATATTAATTAAATCACTACTTGGCCCATTAGCTCTTGCTTCTTATTGGCTAATTCTTACATCTTAATTGAACCCATTTCTATTAATCTGTATATTGCCATGTGGCAGTGGCTTACTGGGTGAAATTCAGCACCTCTATCTCCAGTGGCGAATACATGATATCCCTGGCTCTGCTTTCTTCCTCCCAGCATTCAGTTCTGTCTTCTCTGCCTACCTGAGTTCTGCCCTATCAGATCAAGGCAGATTTTTATTCATTAACCAATACAAACAACACACAGAGAGGTCTCCTACATCAAGGCATGGCTTTCTGGGACCCAGAGAGAAAAACATGTGCATGAACCAGGTCACCTCTCTCGATGTGGTTCTGCCATGACTGCGCAGAGCCTGGACTTTCCGTTCTTGTGGTGTGAGTTTTCCCTTATAACAAACAATAATATAATTGTTTATTATTTAAGCTAGCCTGGTTATTTCACAAGTCGAGTTAGCTTCTACACTGACATAATTACAGAAATGATTATTATGGATGACTATCTATTAACCTGTATTTAATTATGCATTACATTTTAAATGAGCTACACAAACACAATACCTTAATCAAGAACAGAAATATACATGTAACAAAATTGATGATAAATTTGTGTCAATAAACCAAGATCCATATCAATGCAAAGTATTGCATAATGCCTTTTAAATGTAAACAAACATTTATAAACAATATTTTAGAGAATTTGGGTGTACTCTCCTGGTTTTTACATCCTGGTTTTTGTTGAGCAAAGTACTTGGGGGGTTCACTGAGACCTTTCGGGGGATCTTGGTCCATAAAACCACATTAGTCTGAAAGGAATCCACAAGTTTTCATCCTCTGTGGAAACAAAAGTAGAAATATTGTAAGAAGACTGCTTATTTCATTTCTGGATGCCAAGTCCCAAAATAATCATACAGAAACTGTATTAATTAAATCACTGCTTGGCCCAGTAGCTCTAGCTTCTTATTGGCTAACACTTATATTAATTTAACCCATTTCTATTACTCTGTATATTACCACATGGCTGTGGATTACTGGGTAAAGTTCACAGTATCTGTCTTTAACAGCTCCATGGCTTCTCTCTAACTCTACCTTCCTCCTCCCATGCTAAAGGCCAAGCTAGTTCTCTATTCATTAACCAATAAAAACAACACATAGACAGAAGGACCTCCTGCACCAGATGGTGAGTAAAAACTAGAAGAGTTATGAGATATATGCTAGAAAAATATTATTTTCTTAAAAGTGACAGAAATTTAAATTATTTTGGTAAAAAAAGAAAAACTTACTGAAATCCTGTTATCTAAGAGAATATACATTATGTAATGAATAGAATGTTGAACACCTTCTGATGAAGTCTAATATGGTAACACAGAACATGTTTTTGGAAAATGGAAAGCAGGCTATTTTGGTATAAATGGACAAGAACTTGATGATTTGTATCCTATGGTATAGTGATGGATACAGATAACAGCACATAGATAACATACCCATATTGTATGAAATGAAAGATTAATGCCACCTCTGACAAAGATGGAAGAGGTATACAAACCCAACAAGATACATATGATTAAGACCCCATCACCTAGTTTGTGATTGCTAATTACTATTTTAATATTATATGAACTAAATAACCCAGACTCTGAAAAATAAACATTATTTGTCATCTTTATATGTGACTTGTACATTTTAATTTTTACATGTTTGTATATGTGTGTGTATGTGGTAGATGTCATGATACAGAAAGGCAAATATGAGAAGGAAAAAGAACTCTTGGGAGAATGGGGAAGGAGAAAAGGTGGAAATAGATTAGACATGAAATTAAAGTGAAATGAGGGATCCTGGGATGAGGAAAGAGATAAAGGAGAGGAGGAGGCTAGAAGAGAGGACTCAAAGAGAAAAATCAGCAAATACAAAATACATGTGAAAATGCCATAACCAAACCCACGATATTCTGTTCTAGCATGTTAAATGTAAAATAAAAAATAAAAATAATTTCAAAGTGAACCTGGATTACAAGACTGAAGAATTTTTTTACTCCATTGTATATACATTGCGGGCCTCCTTCAGACCATAGTATCTAGTGTCCTCAAAGATTTCTTACTTTAGAGAGGAGACAAACCAGTGAGACACTTGAAATCCGTGCAGTATTCAATTGTCCTTAGGGTGCTATGCATCACTAGCCTGAGTAATGAAGCCTTCTCACATGCCATAAATTGGAAAGTTCCATTAAAAACCTAAGTGATTTCTGGAAAAAAGGAGAACATTCGGCTAGAAAGAAAGGGAGTATAGATGTAGCATAAATTCTAATTGACTTTCATGATAAGAATCTTGAGTCAGATATAGTGGTAAATGCTGAAATATGATAGAAGGTGAGTAAATTCTCATATTGAATGGATGATCCTGTCTCTAGGAATCCTTAGATTGAATGCTCTATCTATGATACTGCAGGCTGCATCTGAGGACCTGCCTCCTCTCACCTTATATTCCTCTCTATCCAGCTATATTACTTCCCATTTCCATCTCCCTATGACTGGGATTAAAGGCATGAGCAACCACCACTTGACTGTTTGTCTTTTAGACTGATTCAATCTTGTGAAACACAGGGTGGCCTAGAACACACAGAGATCCACATGCCACTGTTTTCTGAGTACTGGAATTAACGGTGGACTAGAACAATCCCCAGAAAGAGGAGAGACAGCTCAAAAGGAAAGAGCTTCAGGCACTGGGCCCCATTCTGAGCAGCTGCTAGTGAAACAGATGAGACAGTAGCCTGTGATAGACAAATGCTCACAGTACTGATCAGAAGCATGGAGGCAGGTAGTCCTCCACCAAAAGAGGATGACTTGTGAGGATGAGAACTTTGTAGATGTTGGTTTCTGCATTCTCAGCTGTGTCCTCAGGGGGCTGGAGCTATTTTGTGAGGTACCTGGATGATGGCATAAGTCACAAAACAATCCCACACCAGTTTGGAATCATGATTAATAAAAGGGTTATTTATTTAAAGGGAAAAACTTACAGATCACTGTACTAGACAACAGCCCTCTGCATGACCAAGAAAGGAGTCTAGTAGCCTGAAGTGGAGTCAGAAGCAAGAGAGCAAGCACATGGCTACCAATGCTTTTTAAAGCCAAAGAGACCATGCCCAAGTGGGCTGGTATCTTAAAGGCTATTGGCTGAAGGAGCAGAAGGAGCTTCCACAGCACTTCCCCCTTTAATTTAAGTAAGAGAGTTCTAAACCCAATACAAAACAATATACACTAGGAACTGATATTAAGTATAAGATTAGAATTGCAATCAGCATAAACAATATTAAGCAAGGAACATATGCTAAATGTTTTAATAAATATTCTATCCTATAGAGTCTCAATCTTGTATAGGAAATGGCTTGGCTAGATCATAAGAGGACAGTAACTATGATTATCTAATCTTCAACCCTATCGAAGGCCTGAGAAGGGAGATAATATTACTTGAGCAGGCAGAAAGTACAATCAAGTAGCTTCCAAAGCGAGTAATATATGACAGAGACAATTAGCTACCTGAGCAATCACCCAAAGTTTCATTTTGCAAAGTTGAAGTAACCAACTTTGGCTATGGCCTAGTGTAATTGACAGACCATTTTCAGAGGCAGGAAACTTTTCAAAACCGTCTTATCCTGTCCTGGCAAGATTTGACAGTCCTGCTTATCCATTTTCAGATATAATGTAACTTGTCAGTGGTTAAGGCATTGTCAGTTCCTTGCCCAAGAAGAAAACAAGCTCCACGTGGAGTGTCTTTGGTGCTCAACATTCTCTTGGGAATAGATTGGTGCTGTCAGAAGCAGGCATGTCTCATGTCAACAGACTAAGTTATTTATTTATTTTTTTTTTTTAGTAAATTTTATTAAATTATAAAAGTTTCCATTTCCACCCCCCCTCCCAACACCCTCCCACTCCCCCTACTCCTCCTCCTCCTCCCTCTTCGTCCCCCAGGGCAGTCAGGGTTTCCTGCCCTGTGGGAAGTTCCAGTTCCTTCCCCCTCCCTCCAGGTCCAGGAAGGTGAGTGTCCAAACAGACTGGATCCCCAAAATCCATTATATGTAGAGGAAACAGGTCCCAGTGTCATAGTCAATGGCTTTTCAGAAAGACTTCGGGTCAGCCACAGTCAGAGAATCCGGCCAAATTCGGAGAGTCTGGTTAGATCATGTCCTCTTTCAGTCCCAGTCCAACTGGCCTTGGTAAACTCTCATCAGATCCGTTCCCTTGTATCAGTGGGTGATAGCATCCCTCGCAGTACTGATTTCGTTTTTCCTGTTCTTCCTCCTTCTGCTCCTCATTTGGACCTCGGGGGGCTCAGTCCGGTGCTGCAATATGGGTCACCGACTGTATCGCCGTCCTTCGTCAGATGCAGGATCTATGGTGATAAGCAAAATATACATCAGTATGGACATGGGCCACGGCCGATTCAGGCACCCACTCCTCTGTCCAGAGAGCAATCTGGGGGATCTCTCCTTGGACCTGGGATCCCATATATAATCAAGTCTCCTGTAAACCCTAAAATGGGTCCCTTAGTTGAAATATAATCTTCCCTGATCCCATATTCATCCTTCCTCCCTCCCCCCCATCCCAGGCCACCAAGCTTTCCCCTTTCTTCCCCTACTCCCTTCTCTCTAACCTTCTCCCCTTCCATCGACCCTCCCTCCCCCCCATGCACCCGAGGTTACCTGGGACTCTTGTCTATTTCCTACCTCCTGGTGGATAGCTAAATAATCTTCATCAGGTTCATCTTCTTATTTAGCTTCTCTAGGATCACGAATAATAGGCTCAAAGACCTTTAATTATGGTTAGAATCCACTTATGAGTGAATACATACCGTGTTCCTCTTTTTGGGTCTG